ACCGATCCCACTGTTGCCACAGGTATATTTTCCCTTGTTAAATTTATATGCCTGTATTCTTTTCGATTCTAGAACCGAAAGAAATTCGTTAACCATCCATTTGAACATTTTCTAAACCCCGTCGTTTACGAGTAACCGAAAATGTATGTCTTCGAGATGGTTATCACATAAAAACGAAACGCTTGTGTCGTATTCGTAGATTGTTTTCTCAATCCGAGTGATTATTCTTTTCCATTCGATCTATTGGTAAACTTTTATGAAATGCTTTGATGTCACCCTTAGCATGTAATGACCGAGCCTCATTCATGCTGTCTTTCCTAGATTCGAGAAAGCCATTTGTTCTAATCTTCCTCCAATTCGACTCTCATGATCTTCGTACATCAAAGCTTAAAAAGTTTACCCGTGTATCTCTCGTCCAAGTGATCATCGAGAAACGAGAAGTCTACGATCCTTTCCCGATGCTGTTTCTAAAGAATTCTTGAGAATTCTTTCCGAACGTGTAGTCTAGTCTCGCATCGATCTAATCCCGGGAATTTCCTCGTAACCGAACCTCAGTAAGCACAATGTGTGCAAGTCAGCAATCAGGGCATGATACGATCACTACGAGGAGGTAGTGACGCCCTTCGGTCGAACCATTCTCTTGTTCATGTAGATAAGCAAAGCAGTCATACTCGTAGATCCTTTCAAAAGCTAAGGCAATAAAGAATTAGTCGACACCGAGAGCCCCCATGGAACCTGTCGATCTTTGGGTCCCGTCGGCTACGATCGTAGACTCACGTAGAAGTTCCCCTTAGAACCATTGGACCTTTAGTTACTTGACATGTGGAAGCGTACCCACTTGTTGAAGGTTTTACCCTGGAAAGACATAGTACGTCTTGGGAAGTGCGAAAAACTTAACTTGTGGAACCTTAGACCCTTTAAGATCTTCGTTAGGAATCGATTCCATAGCCCTCTCCGAGCTATCTTAAAGACTCAGTAGCAACCATCTGGTATTCCGCATCTTTATTCGTAAGGCTTGCCGACCTGACGAAACCCTAGTAAATTCCTTTGAGGATATAAAAATCCAAATTTTCATGTATGAATCAATTGAGACCGTAGACTGAAAGGTTAATCATACGTAACAAAGCCACATTCTGATAGTGAGGGTTCGCTAGAATGTTAAGCGGAGACCCGAATGCAGTAAATTCATCCTCATATATCTTTCCACTTCATGATCTGTGTTCGAATCTTTGAATTTCGGGATGAAATTCCCTCTAACGGGGGGATAATGTAACAACCCGAAATTCATATCCTTATTGTAACCCTTTTCGCGACTCGTTCCGATCATCAATCGCCGTTTCCGATTTCGTTTCCGTTTCCGACCTTTTATTAAGTCATTAATGTGAATTTATTTTATGACTTAATAAGTGTCTTATTACCCTTAGAACTCATCTAACGTCTCATATTAATGATCGGAACATTTTTAGAACCAACCATATCGGGTTACGGCAAATTGGCCGGATGCGACCAAAAGCCCGTCTAACGCCGGTATCGGGTAGAATTCTACCATGTCCCGAACTTGGACACTATTTAAAGTGATTCAAGTCTCCATTTTGAAGCTTTTGCTCCATTTTACAACTATCACTCCAACCTCTCTCCTCAAACTAGATTTTTGGGTCAAAATCTCAAGTTTAAAGCTTCAAATCACCAAGGTACTTTCCCTAGCTTGTTATGTAACATTCTTAGCCTTCAAATTCGAATTCAAAGCATGGATTAAGACATCATTCATGAGTTTACGGCCATGGAACCTCTTAGGCCGTAAACTCATATATAGTGGGTTTTTGAGCCCTTAAACCCCTCCTTGACAAGTTTGAGACTTAGATATGGCTAAATGGCTTCAAGATATGGACCCTAAACAATTAAAACATGAAATTTGTGAAGTTTGAAGGAGTTTACGGCCAAGGATCATTCTTGGGCCGTAAACTCATTAAACTAGGGTTTTCATGCCCTTAAACCCTTCCAAACCACTCCTTTGTCTTAGTTATGAATTATAGAACATAGATCTTTGCATTTGGACACTTGAAACACAATTTTTGGAGGACTAACATGAGTTTACGGCCAAGGCTTGTGCTTGGGCCGTAAACTCCATGAAACATGGTACAAATCCAATTCTAGGGTGTTTGAAAGCCATCCAACACCACCAAAAGCCTTGGAATAAATCAAAGGACCAACCAAAAATAGTTTTAAGGCTTTACAAACATCAAAACCCCACATTTGAGAGTTTACGGCCATAGAACATGTCTCATGGCCGTAAACTCATAAAAAGGTGTCAAATGGTGCCTTAAACTCATTTCTAGGCTTGTGGGAATTTTTAGAATCACATGTGATTGATTTTAACACTTTAAAAACACTAAATCTTGGAGATTTGAGAGTTTACGGCCAAAGACCCCATGCCTAGGCCGTAAACTCCCTTTTGTATTGTAAATGATGTTTTTAATTCAATCCAAGCCTTAAGAAAAATTAATCCAAGCATTTCCAAGTGTCCATATCCATTTATGACTCAATTTTGCCCATATTTGACCCCACCATGAGTTTACGGCCGTAAACTCATGGGGAATGGGTCTTGTGGCCGTAAACTCCCTAAAGGGGGTGTTCCTTTGAAGTCCCAACTCATTTCCTAAGTCCCTCGCATCATTCATGTCCCTAAACGCCACCCGGGTCCCTCCAAACACTTGTATCGGAGTGTTATCGCGACTTGAAGCATTTGTCCCTATCCAACAATCAATCTAAGTCCTAATTAGATACAAATGTGTATCTTTACCTTATAATTAGGAACCTCGTGTGTTTACAAGTCCCGGATCAACTCTTAGCATCCAAACCGTCTCATATCTCGTCCGGTGAGTTCATACCCCTACCCTTTTTCAATGGTTTTTCAATGTTTTCAGGGGGGAATACAAGCAAAAGTACAAGTATATCTTGTACTCAATCACATGATTTCAATTAAATGGTTTCATAATTGTACACTTTAAGAATTGAAAACCTTTTAAACAAACCGTTTTAACTTGCAGAGTTGTTTGTTTTAACCCGATTTTCAATTCTTATTATACACTGTTATATTGTGTACTTGGTAATTGATTGTTCACATTTAAACTGATAGAATACATAAACCATTATAATGTCTGTAATAAAACACTAAGGTTCGAGTGTAAAAGACAGACTCCATTAGAAAACATGAAACATCTATATGTCCTTAACAATACACCTAGGCTCGAGTGTGATAGATAAATACCATCATAACACACAAATCACTGTAATGTCCTTAATAATACACCTAGGATCGAGTGTAAAGGACCATAATCATTAAATAACACCTAGGTTCGAGTGTAATGTCCTTAATAATACACCTAGGGTCGAGTGTAAAAGGACAACCATCATTAAATAACACCTAGGCTCGAGTGTAATGTCCTTAATAAAACACCTAGGCTCGAGTGTAAAGGACAGGTACGTAGAATATAGTCAGTTGTAAATACTACTTTCCTAGTCGAAAAGTAAAGAGTAATCTTAGTGATTGGAGACACGTCCTTGTAACACTTCCATGGCACGAGATAGTGGAGGACTAACCCTGTAACCAGAATCTCCGTTCGTAGGAGAGCGTGGCTTGAGTGTATAGATCTATACGGGACTGACAATCCCACACCTGGCTGCTAGCTACAGCCGAACCGAAAGGTTCAAGGGTGACGAGAGTCATAAAAAGGATATTGACCACGGTTCGAGTCATATCTAGTCTGAGTATGGTTAAGGACTCGCAATCTAGATTATTAACATTTCAGACTCATTTACTAGCTTTATGTACGTAGTAAAGCTAATGTACATTTAGGGATGACAGATACACACACAGTCAGGAAACATGGGGTTTTCCTGGGAGAACACTGAACATAACCAGAACCAGTAAAGACACACATACACAGTCAGGGAAACATGGGGTTTTCCTGGGGAGAACACTGGACATAAACAAAACCGGTAAAGATATACACACAGTCAGGGAAACATGGGGTTTTCTGGGAAGGACACCGAACATAGTCAGAAACTAGTAACAGTTCACACACACACAGTCAGGAGAACATGGGGTTCTTCCTGAGTAATAGTAGTACGAAATTAGAGAAGTGTAATAAGTTAAACAATTGAATTACATTTCACAAGAACAATCATGTTTTAATTAAACATCGTTTACTTTACTTTCGGATTTGGAAACTAACTTTACATAAGAAAATATGGGATTTTCTTGGATAACCACTTTTCAGGAAAACAAAGGAACTCGTACATTTTCAGAAAAACTAACCGCTTATGAACTCACCAGCTTTATGCTGATTTTCAAACCGCTTGTATTCTCAGGTCCATGTTAGACAGGTACCGAAGATCCTTTTGTGTGAAGACGGAGTTCTCAGAAGACTCGTTTTCGTGTTGTTCATATATACTATGTATCACTTGTATAACTTATGCTTTTGAAACAAATGTAAATCTTTCATATATGTAATGTAATGGTTGATTTACTTTACTTACTATGTACATTGGATTTGATACTCTACGTGGAGTCAACCCCGAAAATATTTCCGCCTTCGGTTTTTGGGGTGTGACAATCGGCGACTAGTATCATTCTAGAGAGGGCTAGCCGATTTTCATGAAGTGTAGAATTCTCTCAAGTTATTCCAAGTGTATTTGGTGTTGTGTGAACCATTTGAGGTGTCACACTTGGGGCACTAGGCACTCAAGCTTCATGAAGACATTCTACATCAAAGAGGTATGTATTCTATCTTGTTATATTGATAGTTTTGTATGCTAGATTAGGATAATACCTTGGATGTTCATATTTGCTTGTATAATAGAGATAACATAGATCCAAGGTATTTAGGGTTGCATGTACACTTAGGAGTGTTAGAATGATCAAAACCCAACAGATAATAGACAGAATTTCCTGTCCAAGCCTAAAAGTCATCCTTATGCTTGCGCTGACGCTCTTGATCCTAAGCGTATTGAGTGGTGAAGGAGGAAAAACTTTGGGTTAGGTTCGTGAGTTCTTGATGGTAAGTGTCGAGGCGGGTATGGATCGATTGGAATTGATCCATATATTGTTGGTGATATGATGGGTGCCCAGCATGACGGGATGAGCTGGCTCCACCCATAGGAGGAGAATTTTGTGGTGCCGCCTTGCCACTATTATCAGCCTTTCCACTTTCTTCACCTTCCTTATCTTCCTCCTCGAAGAAGGAGATGGGGAAAAGATAAGGCGTGATTTTGCAGTCGGTGAAGTTAGTAGGCCGCCTGAGGGAAAGGATGTTCTGATTTTCGGGAGTGATGAGGAGCTTTGGGTCATGGTTTTGGCCCATAGTCCAATTGTGGTTCCCGTCCTCTGCCCGAAACATCCTCATGCTCTCGAGTACTGTCGTGGTGAGGTAGGGGTCACCGGGCAGAGGATGGTGAATTCCGGTATATGGGTCCCGGACTGGAGCAGTTTTAGAAAACAAACTGACAATTCCGCCACAATAAATTTTTCTAGACTGTGAAGTGCTGAGGCGGGTGAGCTTGTTGCAAAGTAATAAGCCATAGTGAGGAACAGGGTTTTCATCCGGGTGGGCCATCGCATAGAGTATTTTAAGCTCAAGAGCACAAATGGTGCTTCTTTCTTCTCTAGGGACATCAAGTGAAGCAATAATCCTATGAGCCACTTTCATCATAGGGTGGATGAGAGATGAGGCTTTAGCAGAACTTGAGGCATAGGGATGTTGATGCGTAAGGCCATTCCACCACGTATGATCACTATATCCTAGGATTGGGTCATTGGGGCTAAAGGTGCTTTCTGTGGGGGCGCCAATTATAGCGTTGATTTGATCTAGGGACAGGGCAGGATCATGGTTCATAAGTTGGAAATGTAGGACACCATTTTCCAAATAGAGTGAAGACAAGAACTCGGCTATTGGGACTTTGTAACTGAGCTCGTGGACCTACAACAACCCTTGCTATCCAATGTTTCAAAGGAATGTGTGGACTTGATTATAGAGGTGCAACTCATGGAGAGATGGCACATGCGCAAATTTCTAAATGGTATGATTACACTGGAGAAAGGCCTCAAGTTTGGCAACTTGAATTGGCCCGGAACAAACCACACCTCTATATGCCGGATTGGGTGGAGGTGATGGGGACCTAGATGGTGGTGTGGGAGACCTACGACGGCGGGTCGAGGACATGGTGTCTCTAGGCCGTTTAGAATGCTCAACTTCTATATGCAAAATTTTTGTGGGGGAAAAAAATTAACCGGTCAACGGGTCAAAAAGTCAACTGTTGACGGGTCCAGTCAACTCGAGTTTGGCGACAAAAAATTCATGGGAAACTCAATCTAAAGTGATTTCCAAGTTATTGTCAAGTCCAAAATGACCACAAATACATGCAATTTAACCTTAAGAACACAAAATCCACAAGTGAAGAATTGGAAAGATTATACCGGATTATGAGAGGATATGTGTTGTTGTTGGTGAGAAATTGCTCTTAAACCTCCCCAAGCTTGCCTACATAAAGATTTAAGCACAAAAAACACCAAAATATATAGTGATTTTCGGACCTAGGGTTTGTCAACACCCCCAAATCCACCATGTATGAGATGTAGGACATGAAGTGTAGAAGAACAAAATCAAACCTCTTTGAATATTTAAGCCAAAATTAATGGAGAATCAAGTGGTTTTTGAAGGAAATCGGACCTTGGGGTTTTCTTGGGATAAAGGGTTGTTGTGGGAAGTGTTTGTGGGTAAATCAAGTGAAAAAACCGATTTTAAAACTTAAAACCCACATGTTCTGCTGTATGAACATGCCCGTGTTCTTTTAGTGTAAATCCACAAGGGTCATGTGGGGTGAAATAATGTTGAGAATGCTTGAACACGACCCGTGTTCCGTATAATGCAAAAGTGAACACATACCATGTACCTCTCTGACTCCAAAAAAAAAATTAACTTCTCTTGAACACGACTCGTGTTCAATATAAGGCACAACGAAAACTGGCCATGTACGGCTCTATTTGCCGCTTCCCACTTTTTGAACCCAAAAATCCCCCCTCATTCAAAAGAAATTAATTTGCATCCCGAGGTCCATTTAGTGATTTGAAAACATGATTAAATGCATTTGGAACACTAAAAACAAAAACATTCAATGAAATGGAAGTGTTTTTTAAGAAAAAGACAAAATACGCCCAGTTAGCCACCTTGTTTTAAGTCGTTAGCTTGACATGGCCCCCGAATATGCTTCAGTCTTGTTACATGGGGTTCCCAACCACTTCTACCTCATCATCCTTCACCTTGAATTCCTCATAGAACAGATTCAATCTATGACCATTGACTTTGAATGTTTTTCCGGTTTATTTGTTTGTGATTTCCGCCGCACCATGGTCGAATACTTTTGTGACCACGAAAGGCCCAACGCATCTAGAACTTAACGTCCTTGAAATCAACTTGAACCTCGCATGGTAAAGAAGCACTTTTTGTCCTTGTGCGAAAGTCTTCCGAGATATCATTTTGTCATGATACGCCTTTGTCTTCTCTTTGTAAATCTTGTCACTTTCTTATGCATCATTTCTGATCTCCTCTAACTCTTGAATGTCTAGCTTCCTTTTGTTTCCCTCCTTAAGTTCATTCAAGTTGTATTTCTTTACAGCCCCAAAAGCTTTGTGCTCGAGCTCAATTGGGAGGCGAAACGGTTTTCCAACCACTAGCTGGTATGAGGACATACCAATGGGGGTTTTGAAAGCAGTGTGGTATACCCATAAGGCATCATCCAACCTTATACTCCAGTCCTTGCGGTTTGGATTGACTGTTTTCTCCAAAATGCTTTTGATTTGCCTATTTGAGACCTGTTCTTGCCCATTGGTTTGGGGGTGATAGGATGTTGAGACTCTATAAGTCACCCCATAGTTCTTCAGAACGGATTCAAGTATCCAGTTGCAAAAATGAGTCCCACGATCACTTATGAGAGCCTTTGGAGTGCCAAACCAAGAGAAAATATGTGCCTTAAGAAAATCCACCATAACTTTGGAATCATTAGTACTGGTGGATTTGGCCTCTACCCACTTGGACACGTAGTCCACCGCCAATAAGATATATGAACAACCAAAAGAGGGAGGAAATGCTTGTTGGGTTTTGAGCAATCTAACACTTTCTAAGTGTGCATGCAACCCGAATAAACCTTGGATCTATGTTTGGCTAAATACATGCAAAATAATAATTTTCCAAGGTTTATAACCTATCTAACATGGAATGGGGAACATTTCAAATGGAATCACAAAACACCACAAACTCTTGGAAAACTTTGAGAGAGAATACACACTTGTATTTTCGGCCACACACAAGCACACACACACACACACTAGTTCACTAGTTACACTTAGCCTCACTTAGGCCCCATTTCATGCTCCATAAGCATGCTTATATAGTGTGCATGGTTAGGGTGAAACCCTAATAACCCATGACCTTTCCTTTCCAAGGATCCATGGGTTAAAAGCTCCATGGACTTCCATACAAGCCTAGCCCATTAACAAATGAGTATTAGCCCACACTATATAAAATATAATAGCCCACAATTAATTAGTCTTCCTTTTAATCTCTAAATTAATTCATAATTAATTTAAGACTAAGACTAATTAAATAACATGACTTCATATTAATATATTATAACTTATAATATATTAATAATCATATGTGTATAACTCTCATAAAATTATCCATAAATAGTTTGGATGAGATGCAACCCAAATGGACCATGCCGGTCGGGTCAAGTATATACCAAATAAGTTATGGACTTAGACACCTTATCCAACAGACTCCCACTTGGATAAGTCTAATAACTATATTTGCGTATGTTACTTCAGGAACCAACCAACAATCGTAGCTCTCGAAAACTCTGTTGAACTATGAAGACTCTGTTGAACTATGAAGCGCCATTTTAGATAAGTGATCATATAATCCTCTGTCCTCATGATATCAGCTGGACAAATACATGGAACAACGTCGTACTTATTGTCCAGCAGTTTGTTTCCCAATTTCCGATTTGTTTGACAAAGAACTTAATCGAACACATCAATTTAGTTCTGACCGGCTGGTACATAGGTCATAACAAAATCATCGAGGGGCCCAGATATCGCTTCTATTTCTAGAAGGAACAGATAAACTTCAACTCATATGCTTGTTCTACTACTTGTTGAATTGTACACAAAGGCACGCTTTATAACATCAAGTTACTGATGCGTTTACGTGCAATCCAAGCACAACCAACTCATAGGTAACAACTCATAGCTCTAGGTTTGAAGATTTATATGATATTACCATCTCACGATCACTCGAGATAAATTCCATGAAGTGATACAATAGAGCGTGGGTTTATTCCAATAATCATAACTTATGAACACTCATGAATGTTGTAGCAACCATTGCTATGACTAAACCCATTTAACCATCTACAAACCCGATTCATGACAGTCTTGATTCATACCTACTTCCAACATATGAACGATTGTGGAGTGTTTAAATGACTTAGTCATTCGAAAGAATAACCAAGCTATTTTGGAAGTCAAAACGTGCAAAGTGAAACACAATAATAATCGAATCCAATATGGTCTCAAAACCCTTTTGAATATAAATAGAACCACCTTTTATTTATCACCATATTAATTACTCATTATTCATTGTATAATGTTTCAAACAATCAACTTAAGACTTGAATAAAAACAACAATCGTCCCATGTTCCTGCCATGTACACTTTGTTTTTCTAAACAGTAGTTACGCCATACTCCAAGTATGCACACTATGTTTGTCTATGATCCTTACATTGTGATGTAGATCAATTGAACATGATTCCAATGGTACTCATTTCACAATCCCAAATCCTTATTGCAAATGTGAGAATCCCCGATTCTTATCATTTACCAAAAAAAAACTGTTAGATTTTATGCAATGTTCCTCTTGTAATGATTATGCACAAAGTCACTAAAAGCTTGTCACCAATCATTACAGAGTATTCCAAAGAAGATCAAATCTATGGAAACGAAGTCTCATATTCGAAGTACATTGCTTTGAACATCCTTCTTGCATTAAGGTTTTTCTAATGTTACACAGATTGAATAACTTCCTCAGATTGAATAACTTCCTCCTATGGAGACATTTCCATAGTCTCATTTTGACTATCACTTCTGAACAAGAGTTACCTCTTTTAAGAAAATGTCAATATTGTCCTGCCAAAATTAACACTATACTTCCAAATGTCCCTGAGCAACCAATCTTTGGCAAACCTCAGATTGTCCTCAACAATTGCTTAATCACTTTAGTCATATCCAGTTCTAGACTTTTCCCTTCTCAATGCCTTAAGCATTTGGAAAATTTAGAAAAGATGAATATCATAGCACATGAAGTCGATCCTATATCTGAAGCATATGGGACACGATTCATGAAGTCTCACATAAAGACATGATACTAGACCAGTCTTTTGCTACAATATTTTTTTTATTTGCCATGTTTTCAAAATTTAACTATGAAGAGGGATGTCGTAGTCATAATTGAATTTTGAGAACGCAATATATATAGAATTTATTGAAGTTGAACCATTCCAACACAAAATTCATATATATTTTGACTAAAGATGATTAAAATCTCAATCTAAGCTTTAGAATTGAAATGAAGTATAATTTCCTCTCCCTTAATTATAGCAAAACAACTTTGCAACCCCTGCAACTTCATGAATTGAAACTTTGTTTTCTATAATTAACATTCCTAGCTTGCAATACTAATCATAATAATCATGCTCCCACTAACATGATGATTATTAGCATAACACTTATGCTCCCACTAGCTCTGACATATTTCTAGAAATTTGCTGGACTTCTAAAATTTAGATTCATACACCCTTCCGTAGATAGCTCACCTGTGTGTCTAAGCAATTTCAAGAACTATGAAAAGGGATGCCATAATCATAGTCTCAATTGCTTATGCATTTGCCATTTCTCACAAGTCCATGTTAGTGTGCCGGTTAACCACACACGCTCCACTAACAACTTTTGAAAATGCAAATAACACAATTGCTATCTACTTAAAATCTACTTAGTGAAAGCATTTCCTCACCATCATTTTCATGAATCGGAGAGAAACCTTATGACACTTAGATTTTATAGTGTATGAGTTCCTATCCATGTGAATATGTCAAAACCATAATCAC